CTCCGCGCCGGCTTTGCTTGAGGAGAACGAGCGGCTGCGGAGGAGCAACGCGGCGCTTATGTCTGAGCTGGCTCACATGCGGAGGCTTTACAACGACATCATTTACTTTGTACAAAACCACGTCCGGCCGGTGGGGCTGAGTTCAACCAGCGCTTATAATAGCGGTATAAATGGTTCTTTTTACGAGTTCCGGCGAGGGGGAGCGGGTCTCAACTCTGTAGGAAGTGCGACGTCTAGTAGCTCGCTGACTATCGCTGAGGATCCATCGACGCGTTTGGATGGGAAGGATAGTGAGAGCAGCGGTAGCCCGACGAAGCTTTTTGGAGTTAGTATCTGTGCTAAGAGAAGGGAGTTCCCTGGCGAACCGGCTTCTTCTTCTTCAACCAAGCTGCGGTTAGGTTTGAATAAGGAGAGCATGTCGCCTTCTTCTTCGATGTAAGCTGAGACTATGAGCAGTGTTTGTGTCTGTGTTCAATGTTCTGCTTCTTCTTCTTCCGTAAGTAATTTGTTTGCCCGTTGTTGCTAGTGTTGCACTCAACTCTTATGGAAATAACTGATAAAAATCTTAAAAAGTTGCGATTTTTTTTTCGTCGTAATATGAATTACTTCAATGCCATCAAATGCTGTTTAAAATTTCAAGTTTTTTATGTGTTGCTTTACTATTACATCACTCCTCATCCTTCTATTCTTCTCGCATTAACTGTGAACCCTAAAGATGTGGGCTTTCTTCAGCTTCGAAGAACATGATAGATGAAGATTCTTGTGCGGTCAAAAATCTTAAACTTGAACATTATCTGCATAAAAATATACTAAAAATTTAAACTTCAATCTCTTTGCTGCATTCAATCTATGCATTAAACATTCTGAACGAAGCGAGAGAGAGAGAGAGGTTTTGAACAGTAGCAGAAGGCGGAATAAAGAATCCGTTCATCGGAACGTGATGGTTCGCATAGATTCCCTTCCCCATGCTGACGAGTCAGCTCGGCCCACGAGCTGCTTCTGTGGCTGCATCAGAGTTTCAGACAGAGTAAAACAAAAGAGCAGAAAAGGACGAATGGTGGTCCTCAGAACAATCAACGGCTGTGATTTCAGGGCCGTTTCTGTAATCGTACTCGCCCTTTATTTTCCCCCTTGAAACTGTAGCAAATTATTCCTCTCCAGTTCCTCTGTCAGCCTGTGGCGGAGTTACGGTTCATTTGCAGTTATTGCTAATGCCAGTTTTGACCGCGCCATTTTCACCTTTTGGGCGATTCTTTCAACACTTGCCAACCGCTCGCTTCAATATGCAAGATTGCATTTGTTAGCTCCTTTTATTATAAAATTTATAATGGCGGCATTTGCATGTATTCCACGGCTGTCAAAAAAACTTATCATGCGTGAATAGTTCGCGCTCGATTCGTCTGATAAGTAAATGAAATGAACATGAACATTTTTTTTCATTCGATTAGTTAAACGAATCAAATACGAACAGTGATGCATTCATTTGTGTTCGAATCGTTATTATTTGAAATATAAAATAATTATATATAAAAAATTTATGATATTTTAAAAAATTAAATTTTATAAATTATAATATATAATAAATTAATAATAATAATATATTAATATACTATATTAGTAATATACTAATATACATATTATATATTCATATAATATAAGTTGTATAATTAATATAATATATTATTTATATATATTAATATTAGGGATATCAAATTGGCTCTTCATTCGCAAACAACTCGTGTTCGGCTCGTTTGTTAAAAAATGCAATGACTTCACGAACAATTTCAAACACGAGCTTATTTCAAACAAACTAAATTTCAAACGAACTGAACACAAACACAAGTTCTGTTCGTTCGTGTTCGATTCGTTTACACCCCTAATACCACCCAATTATATTTACAGGGTTGAAGATAAACATAGGAATAAAATGGTATGTTTGTAAATCTTCCTTGAAATTTTTTCATAGGTGTTGAAAAATATTTATGTGTTTATCGTCAAATACTTAAATTTATTCATTAACATATTTTTCTTTTTTTTAAGTAAATACATGAAAAAATCTATTTCGTTTAAAAGAAAATTAATAATAATAGTACTTTTAATATGATGCTAAATATTTAATTGTTTTATGAGTAAATTTAAGAATGTAGGTATTTGTTTAATCCAAAACTGTCCAGGAGATAAGAATAGAGCACTAAGGATGAGAAAAAGAGAGGAGAAAATAGAGCAATAGCACACTAAAGAATAGTGAATTTGCGTAATTTTTATTTACGAAGTGGACCGACAATTTGTAGGAATGAGTCATCTTTTTTCGTCAGCTCATAGAACCAACTGATTACCTGTCGGTAATAATGACAGCTTGCATATCGAAAAAGTATTTCACCAGTCAGAATTCTTTTTCTGCGAAATAGTAGGAACAAAATATCGTCGTCTCCTGCAGTAAATATGTTTCACATATCAATCCTTCTGGCTAGGTGTTATTCTTCACTGTTTTCTTCAGTTTATTAAAAAATCGTATTGGCAATCTTCTTTATAAATAAGTCATTAACTACCTAGTCTCAAAGTAATTACCTCTCAAACAGATACATCCAGCGGCACTATACCGGACCTCCAATAAATGACTCGTGGGGTAAATGTACAGGCATATGCTTCATTGAGTCGAAGAAACTAGACAAAAATATTCTTTTGATCTTGCAAAGCATTACATGTATGTTTGCTTCCAACTAACGTATGCTGTCAAGTTTTAAATGAGCTACACATAGTTCTCTAAACAACACACTGATTTCAATTAATAGAGCTTGAGATCAAAATATTAACAGCCTATTGAGGCTGTCAGGGCCGTTGAAGATCGATAATCAATCTTCAATTTTTTTTTAAACTTTTGGATCTAATATTGTCTGTCACAATAGCTACACCAAACCTTGCATTTTTTATTTATTTCACATTTTTTTTCCAAGTTGAAAGTTTATCATTAATCTAAGTATTATCATCTCTGCAAACCCCATACGCGATTAACTACATACCTGGAAATATATTCTTAGTAGGAAATATTTCATATGATGTGAGAATTTTCACTGCATCATTCAATGTGAAGTCTAATTTTTCATTCTCAAAATGAAAATTTCCTTCGAAATCTAGCTTGTCAGTTCCGAAAGTAAATTTATTTTAAAATTAAATTTGTATTGCCAAAATGAAAATTGACGGTGTATTTTCTTAGCTGATTTTCATTTTCATTTG